TCGAACAGATATAAATTATTATAACTGATGGTACAGTTCAACCATTTTCAATAGTCTTTTTATATTCTTCAATATTCTTTTACACCTGCCAATCGACCTCAAACGAGGGATAGGGTGTCTCTTCACCGGAAGTGTCCTCATCATGTTACTCAAAGGACTCTAATGATTGGGTCTTACGCGATAAAGCCTAAAGAATCAAATTTTAGCACTGCTGATATTATTAAAAAAAAAAATATTCTTTCCTCTTTTTGGTTAGTGATAAATCGAAGACTTTTTTATAAAAGTTTAACGAAATACTTTTATTAATACATAAGTGTACATAGGTAACGACTACATTGCACATTTGCTGCTCTAGGTGGTAAAAGTTAATTAAATTGTTTCTTTTGAATTCCAGGTGCGGAAGGAGCTTTTAAAAAGTTAAAACCTGATCCCTGTGCTTCGAGTCCTCACATCGGTCACACCCCTACCACTGCCAGCTGTCCAACCCCTGCTCGACGACGGCATAGGACTACTTTTACACAGGTTTGCTATTCAAATAAAATATTACCTTACGTATCTCTTTTATTTCATAAATTTTCAAATTTTCGGTTCGATTGTAAATCTTTTACCAAAGCACGATACATGTACCACGTGTTTAGAAATTACCTCTGGAAGCATTTATTTCGGTTTGTAATTTTCATTCTGATTCGTCAATTCAAACTATGTGAAAAGAAATCTTAGGTCATTAACACGTTCCGTGACGAGTCGTTTTTGCACCACTTTTCATTTAGGTTACGTGTACCGCCGAGGGTAATTGTGGTATTATTTATTTTATTTTGTTTTTACTAGTTTTTAAATCAAAAGTTGAAAGTAACAGGTTTAAACGGGAAATTAAGAATGTTTTGAAATTGCAGCATAGCTAAAAAATATTCTAAGTTTCAATTTTTTAATTTATTTCAATGCAAGTAGTAGTGCAAGATGTTCAACTTATGATATTTACCCTTGGAAAAAATTTAGATTGCAAAATTTAGACACGGTGAGAATTTTTCATAAAGTGCAGCATTTCTTTCGTAATTACCCTATGAGCTTGAAACGTATGTTTAATAATGAATTAAAAATTGAAAAACATTATTATCCAGTGTAGAGTGAAATAAATAAGTTTATTTAAATAATTTACAATTAAACGGAAACATATAGAATATTGTATAAAGCAAAACAAATAGAACATATAGAAAAGTATGAAATAAATCAAATATTTTCATATTAAAAGTTGATTACAATGTTTCCTTTTTTCTATTAAAACAAGGTATACATAAATGGGATTGATTAGAGCAATTACTATAGAATATCGCTACTTGTTTGGTTATACTTCTTGCCAGTTGACATTTCATTCATATAAAGAAGTGCGAAATTGCTGTACATTTGCCCTCTTTCCTTATAATTTTATAGAGTTTTCTGTCTGTATAACATAGCGACTCAAACTTGAGTGTATACAGGGTGGTACATTTAAACGGGAACGGTGAAATATCTCACGAAGTTATGAAACGTTATCCATTGAAGTTATGAAAAAAATATTTTTACAAAAGTTGTTCGGTATAATAATTTTTCTGCAGGTATTATAGTGGAAAAGATATCAAAGTCAAGTTAATGTTTTTTTTAAATAGAACGTCATATTTTTCTATTCCTAATATTACAGTATTTGCTGTGACGAATTCAACGGAGTGCCACATGAAGTCATTTCGTTTTATAGAAAGTTGTAAAATCATGGAGAATTTATATTAGTACCACAATCAAGAAGTGTTTATCTGACGTTGACCTACCCGACTAGAATTTCAGTTAGGCAGATATTAGGTCCGCATTAGGCTAGCCTAATTTGCCTGTTTGGCCCCAATAAGTCCGCATGCGGTATGTAACGCGGAATATTCGCGACTACCTAATTCGGAAAGCCGCATTAGGCTTTCCCAATGTGAATGCCTAACTTTGGCGTGCGCTCGGCCACTCCAATTTGGGTCACGTATAGCAGCTGTTAGGAATGCCTAACTTTGGCGTGCGCTCGGCCACCCCCATTTGGGCCACGTATGGCAACTGTTAGGAACGCCCAACCTAAGCTTGCGCTCGGCCACCCCCATTTGGGCCACGTATGGCAACTGTTAGGAATGCCCAACCTAAGCGTACGCTCGGCCACTCCCATTTGGGCCACGTATGGCAACTGTTAGGAACGCCCAACCTAAGCTTGCGCTCGGCCACCCCCATTTGGGCCACGTATGGCAACTGTTAGGAACGCCCAACCTAAGCTTGCGCTCGGCCACCCCTATTTGGGCCACGTATGGCAACTGTTAGGAATGCCCAACTTAGGCATGCATCATTCCTTCCGAATTAGGACCTAATGCGGTAACGATTAGGCTTGCAGCATTTAGGTGTGCCTAATCGTTTCCGCATTAGGCCCACATTCGTCTTTAGGCATGCCTAACTGAAATTCTAATCAGGTACCTCCCCGATTCTTCACTACTTTACGATTTTTCATAGAACAAGATGACTTCTTGTGGCATATCATTGAATTCGTCGCAGCAAACGCTATAATATTAGGAATAGAAAATATAGCGTTCTATTTAAAAAAATTAACTTGACTTTGATATCTCTCCCACTACTACGCCTACAGAAAAATTATTTAGGTCAGGTAATGTGCCCTTTATACCAAATAACTTCAATTCCTCGTAAGATATTCCACCGTTCTCGTCTAAATGTAACACCCTGTATATCTCTAATGGCATTCGATGTGATAAACACTCTATATATGATAATTATGTATTACTTAATAGTATTATGAAATATTTTACGCTCGTCTATCTGTTTATACTCAAAATATGAAACGTTCTGAATGTAAATTTCAGCGAGTACCACCAGTGGTCCTCACGCCACGAAACGTGTTAAAATTTCATCCTGTGATAATAAATGCTCTATCGTAGTTTTGTTAATTATTATATATTGTTTCATGTAAAAATTAGTTTGCTGTTATGTTACATTTAACTTTCTCCTATAGGAGTACGTACGGACAGGTACGTATTCACCGTAAGGCGCATTAAAGTGGCACACGTTCTTGTCAAATCATAACATCATGACAGAACTTCCATTAACTCAATTTTCTTTCACACTAAATATTCAAAAATACTCGTTTGAGAGCTTATAACCTTAAAATCAGGGCCGCCTTTACCAGAAGGCGCAAACTGGGGCCACATTTCGAAACTTTACTTCTCACAAACAACAATATAAAAAACAACCTAAATAGTTACAGTTGCGAAAGAAAATACTTATTTCTATATATTAAATTCGTAATATAAAAACAAGAGGCCGCTGAAAAGAGAAACGCCAAATTTATGAATTCGATTAACTGAAATAGACTTCCCTTTTCATAGGCCTCGTAATTATATCGCGCCTAGGGCCTACAAAAGTGTAAAGGCGGCCCTGCGTACAAATGTTACGCAGTTTCTCGAATTCGTTCGTGTTTCCGCGGACCAAGCACCTTTGGAGAAATCTTAAATCCCACGTTAGACAGTTTCCCCAAGCATCCGCGCCTATTGTTACGATTCTCGATAGCGGGATTACTTTCGGGCAAAGCCGTTCCAGTTTTTTCGATAACGTCATTTCGATTCCCTCGATCCGGGACCTTTCGTATAGCGCTCAAATTTCCTGTCGGTAGTTCAGATCAGCTTTACTACGGCCTTCCAATTGTTTCGCAGGAGCAGCTGGCAGAATTGGAATCGGCATTCGCAAAATCTCATTATCCAGACATATACTGCAGGGAGGAATTAGCGAGGTCCACCAAATTGAACGAGGCTAGAATTCAGGTGGGTGTTACATTTTTTTTTTTTTTTATCAAGAAATAAGAAAAGCAACGAGCTCCTTAACATATGATTTTCGTCCGACGCACAATTTTTCGGACGAAAGGAAGATTTTGTCGTTATCAATCGGATTAGAATTGATCGAATGTTACTAAAAAATTTTGTATTGTAAGAATATAAAGATAACAAGTTATACGAGAATTCGTGATAGAAACTTGGTATAATTTTTATCTTAAACGAAGACATAGTATTCCTCGGTAGAATACTTTTTTTTTTCTTTCAAATACATGCTTGTAGAAGAAGAGCGAAATATCTGTTCCTTTTAAATTCGTGTTCATAGGTTGCGAAGTTTCACATCCTGCTTCAGAAGTATCGCTAAAATTTATACACCTATTTTCTGCACCAATCTTTTCGGCCATGACTCACACTATAATTGAATCAAAGACGCATGTAGGGTGATAAAATGAAATTACGCGCGCAAATGTCGATCCAAGACCCGCGTCTTTCGAGGGTTGCAGAATCAATCAAAGGGTACGAAGGCGTTTCGACTGAACTTTTTCATCTCTACTGAGTTCACAATATCGATGAAAAGATTAAATTATAGTTACCCACTCGCTATTACTGAATAATAGCAATTGCAGCGTACAGAAGGTTCTTACTTATTTATCAGTTATTTTTCAACAAAGTTTGCAGAAACGTCTAGCTATTAAGGAATTTTTAATTTGAAAGGAACGTTTTGAAGAAAACGTTCAACAGTTCAATTTCTTTTATGATACAAATAATCTGTTTCGTGATACTAATTTCGTTTATGACATAAATATTTAGTAATCGTCATCTTAATTTTCTAACTATAAAGCAAATGTGCCTCCATTCTAATTGTAAGTATGCGATGTTTTACAAATAGGAGTATACACGTATTACCTAATACTCGACGATTAAGGTATTTTGTATTTTATTTCAAATAACGATATACATTAGACACGTATAACCTATATAGATCACTGACTGTAAACGATAAAAGTTGATATACCTTTTGT